GTGTGTGTGTGTGTGTGTGTGTGTGTGTGTCTAGGCTTACAAAAGGTGAGCACGGGCCCCCTCCCTCTAGTAGGGCTCACACTCTCATATCCTGCTTCCCAGCCCCGTGCTCTATGCAGTGAGTCACTGAAAGTTGCTGCTGTCAGCAAGTGTCTGTAGCTGGCTGCTTTTGTTACACAGCTCAACCCCTCCCTTGGGCTGCTTGGCCAAAGAGTTTTTACCTCCCTACCTGAATCTTTAATCCCTGTTCGCAGGAGGGCTACACTTGATATTTGCAAGCCTCTTGCCCAGGAAATTACTTGGGTGCTGTGTAGTCACATTGCCGGCACAATCCCTGATTCAGCGTGGGCAGTGCCAGTTTTCCCAGGAATGCTGGCCCTGTTTGATGTCTCCCTTTCTAATACTGCTTTTGTATTTGTATGTGTGTGTGTGTGTGTGTGTGTGTGTCCCCAACTTGATAAATAGAGGTTATGGGGATGTTCCAGCAATGCAATGGCGGTGCATTCCGCCCCCCTCACCAAAAAAGAAAAGAAAAATTAAAGCATAGGATTGCTTTGCCTTAGGGCTAGTTGCAAACTGATTAAAGGATACTCTCACCTAATTTTTAACTGACCTATGGAAATCTCCAACACAGATTGTATCTAAGTATCAGAATTTAACCAAGATAAATTGGGCAGCTATACTATAAAGGGTAACTAGAGCAAGAATAATTGGTGCTGCATAGGTGGAGGAAAATAAATCCTTCAAGCCTTAGGGCAAAATTCCATCACATTATGAAAAATAGGGGTATGACATTTCTGAGGTATATTACCTTACAATGTGTGTGCTTTGCATGACTTTTCACCTCATTTTGAAATGCCAGTGATTGCCAGAAGACTGGGCTAAATTGGCAATTCTTGTGGAGATAAGTGCTAAAAAAAGAACTGAGGCGAGAGACTGGCTTGCTGCAGGAATTGCCAAGAGTCTAGCCTCTGCAGACTTCAATAACATAATAATTTTGTCACACACTGGAACTAGTGCTTCCCTGTAGGATCAGACCCCCTTCCATTTATGCCAATATACAAATCTATGGTGAGAGAGACCTCACTTGTAATGGTGGGCAGTATTCAGAACACATGCCCTCTGCAAGGATTTCCAACTGCATAAGGGGACTTTCTCCAAGTCTCACAGTGGCCAACCAATTCTTGAGAGTAGGATGTGGACTAAATAGGCCTCCTTTGGCCTGATCCAGCAGGGTTCTTCTGATGTTCCACTATTTGCAGCAATAGGACAAACTGGGCAAATCTGTAATGTAATAATAAATTGACAGTGACAGGCGGATAATACAAGTGGTCAGGGCTAAGTCAGGGACAGGTAAATGAAGCAGGCTCAAAGTTGAAGCAGGCAAAGTCTGGGAAACTGAAGATTGCTTTGGATACTACCCAAAATTGCTGCTGGGGGGAAATGTATGAATAACTTGCACATCCTGCTTCCATTCTGCTATGTGCTACACAGGTATCCAGCTTATACAGCTCCTTTTGAAGATGATAGTTTGCTGCTATTACTACTACCCAGAAGCATGGAAAGAGCGTTATCTTTTCAGTGCTCCAATGCAACATCTGAAACCATCCATAGTTAGGCTCTAGAAGCGATGCATAGGCATGTTCTGCTGTAGAAATAAGGGTTTAAGGTGGAAAAGGAAGATCTAGCAGTGCAAGCGATAACTGCAACAAAGCACACATAAGAGAGCAATGCAAGGCAAGAGATGACTGGGGATATTTGAGATCTGGAGGCACATTACCGTAAGGATGCAGTGGTGGCTAAATGGACATGGTTCTTGTCCAATTCTCAGAGAATAAGTCAGGTTCAAGGATTCCTGACACTAAAAGCTGAAACTTCACTATTCAAACACACTAATACAGTACGCTGGTACCTTGGTTCTCAAACTTAATCCGTTCTGGAAGTCCGTTCCAAAACCAAGCATGCTTTCCCATAGAAAGTAATGCAAAATGGATTAATCCGTTCCAGATTTTTAAAACAACCCCTAAAACAGCAATATAACATGAATTTTACTATCTAACAAGACCATTGATCCATAAAATGAAAGCAATAAACAATGTACTATAGTCACACAGTCAATCAATCAGTAGCTGAACTGGGTTCCACACAGTCACAAAAACAAAACAAAAAGAGCCGCAAAAACAAAAACGCAAAATAAATAGCAAAAATAGACAGACCTCAGCGTAAGACTCAAAACCAAAATGTGGCACTCAAATCGGAAACGTAACACTCAAAACGGAAGTGTAGTACTCAAAACGGAGCATGTTCAGCTTCCAAAAAAAGTTCGCAAACTGGAACACTTACTTCTGGGTTTGCATTGTTTGGGTTCCAAGTTGTTTGAGAACCACGGCATTTGAGAACCAAGGTACCACTGTACTTGTGTGGGCTGTAACATTTCTGAGCCAAAGAACTCTTGGTCTCTCCTGAGAATGTCAATGTTAATTTCATTTCTTTCTCAAAAAAAGAGAAGGCGATAAGCTTCATGGTGTGAACAAGTATTAAAAATGTGACTGCAGTTTATGCCAAGACTCATAAACCAGAAGGCAAATTAAGAGACTCCAATATGTGGCTGTCACTGAGAATGACTTTTAAATCAACATCAGATTTTTAGAAGCTTGCTGTGATCCTGAACATCTGAAGGAGACCGTGAATGTCATAAAAATAGAAAAGGCCTCCTGGATCAGACAAAGGTCCATCTAGCCCACCGTTCTGTTCCTAGTAATGGTCACCTAGATGCTTCAGGGAAGCTGATAGCAGGACAGCCCTTTACTGTTGCTTCACCACCACCTGCAACTTGATTTCAGTGCTATACATGTTCTAAACTTGGGAGGTTCTATTTACCTATTGTGTCCATTGATAATCTTTCTCCATAAATTTGCCTAATCCCCTTTTAAAATCATTATGTAAACCTGTGGCCATCAACGCACCTTATGGAAGTGAATTCTACGCTTCGTTTGAAATTATTTTCTTTTCTCTGTTCTGAATCTACTGGGTGTACTGTGAAACAATTGGGTGACCTCAACTTTTAGTATTATGAAAGGGAATGGAGGGGGATTATACTACCTATTCTTTCCACGCCACATATTTTTTGATAAATCATCTTTTTCAAAGTGATGTAGTACCATAACTTTACCCCTTTCCACAAAGGGTGGCGTTTCAACCCTTGATAATCTTGATCACCCTTTCCTGCACTTCTCCAGAGATCTACGATTTCTATTTAGAGATGGAGCTACCAGAACTGTAAAGTTCAGTCAATATAACAGCCCAGACAAACTTTTTCAACCAAGTCAGTCCCCTCTCGTCAGTCATCTAATGTGGACCATCTAATGCTACAGATTTCTTCACCAGGAGCCACTGCATGGAGGTTGCTCCAAGAGCTGTTTGCTATACCAAATGCACTTTCATGCAGTGGGGAGACGGGGTGGGGGGAACAGGACAACTGCTACATGTGCAACCATTGTATACATTTTGGGAAGCCACACCCAATTGCAGCTCTTCAACAAGTTTGCACACATTTTACAGTACAAAAGTGAGAGCATTAGGCACAAGACCAACACCCTGAGAGGAGGAGAGACTTATTCCATGTACTGCCCGTGTAAACTGTTCAGTTGCCTCTCCAAAGAAGGTGAGGCAATGGTTGGAACAAGGAAGTGGCTCATGTTTCCTGTATCCTTCTCAATCTAAAAATAGCCATTTCACAGGAAGCAGCTTGTGAAACCCCCGGGCAGGTAAGGTTGACTATGTTGGGGCATTCAAGGTTAGAAGCAATGCCCAGACATTCCTTTGAGTATAAGTATTCTCAGACTTGGCTTCTGCACTGATCAGCTCTCCTTCAAAAAGGGAATGCATGCATCAAAAGAACTGCTCAACTGCTACACCAGAAATCGGGAAACTGTGGCATTCCAGATACAGTATTGTTGGATTCCAAACTCCCATCATCCAAATTCATCATAATGCTAATGTACAAGATGCACATGAGGTTGGACTAGATTACCTTCAGGGTACCTTCCAATTCTATGATTCTATGACCCCAATTGTCCCGCAAAGAAGCAACCCCCCCCCCAAACCCACATACATACATAAGAGCAGGCATAGGCAAACTCGGCCCTCCAGATGTTTTGGGACTACAACTGCCACCATCCCTGACCACTGGTCCTGTTAGCTACGGATGATGGGAGTTGTAGTCCCAAAACATCTGGAGGGCCGAGTTTGCCTATGCCTGCATAAGAGATTTGTTTTTAAATGACCTGCAGCTATAGTGAAAGCACTTTCTAAAGCTGTTCCTCAGTCTTGCTTTTATGATCTATATACCATTCAAAACAACAGGATGACAGAGACTAAAACGGTATGAATTGACTATATCTTTACATAACTAACAATCTATACTGCTCAGAAAAAGAATGGAGAAAATGACTACTAAGATATCCCAGAAAGAGAATGCTCTGTTCTGAAAGCCAAACATGTATACACCAATGACTCATCAAGAACTATTAGACTTTGGAGATTCAAGAAACAAAATCGCCTTCTTTGTAAATTGAATCAGACGACTGTATTTTCTACAGTGATTCTTCAAGGTCTTCAAGTAAGTAGCCACTTTCCCCATCCTTTCACAGGAAATGGGATCCTGAGATTCTTTCTGACTGGAGCTTCAACAATCTGAACTAGGACCTTCTGTACATGAGCAGGTGCTCATATCTACTACATTATGAGGCTCCTTCCTGGATTTATGGCTGCAGCATGCCGAACAGAATCCGGTTCCTGAGGCTGAACTTCAGGAGTTCTCGTTTTTAAGGAGCTTTCTAGCATATCTTTACAGAGGATGGAGCGTTGTGTTCTGTTTAGCCATTAGTCATCCCCACATTTCCTCCTGCCATGACATTACACTTGGCCAAAGATATTCCAAATACTGCAAGACCTCAAATCTTGCTTTTTTGATGGGGTTTTTTCTTTTTCTTCTTCTTCAAATAAACACATTGTCTAGGTTCAATTCTGTGCTGTTAGCTTCATAATATTGGGTGGGAGGGGAGGTGGATGCAAAAAGAAATAGGTCTGTCCAGAAGACCACTGTGTTTTGCAGCACACCATTCTCAAAGGAGGGAAGTGTCATCAGCTTCATGTCTGTACATTATTTATTTACCTATTGCTATAACGCATCATATTATTAAAAGCGACAAGATAAAGTCAGATGGGTAGCTTAGTGTGTGCCTTATAAGCCCCTGGTACAAAGCAACAAAGTGCTCACTTAAGAGCAAGACATGCAAACGCAGGGGCATTATAAAGCTCTCGTTTGAGTTTACAACCCCACAAATTTGGCTTGGATTCCTTTGTCAAGACTCCAACCTTTACTGTTTGACTAATATTCTGGGACTTTTTACTACACACTTCAAATAGAATCTGGTAAGGCAAGTGAAGAAGAAAGTGCCGCCATATGAGCCACCCGAATGGCGTGTGATTTGTAGTAATGAAAGATAAATGGCCTGCTGGATGCAAGCCAATCTTGTTTCTGATCTGGGTTATATTTTGCTTGTGGCACTGCTGGATGATGTATGCCTGGAGATCAACAAAATAACTTGCGCAATGTTGATCTTATTAGACTTTCAGGGTTTGGTTACGTTGGGAATTTCCCCCGATGATCGCTGAGCCTGGGGGCTATTGTGTTCCCCTGCAGTGTGTGGCGTGGCTTGCAGTATGAATCATTTCAAGCTATTTTTGCAGTGTACCCACTCTCTGATCCTGGCAAACCGTGCTCTGTATTTTATAGCTTGATCTGCAGGTGGGGGTTGCTGATGCTGGTGGACGAGTGGTCCTGCCTTTCCAACCTCTCTAACTTGATGTTGCTGATAATAATGTGTTGGGGTTGTGAAGGTGGGGCTTGACATACATCTCTAGGATTGATATCAAGTTGTTCTACCACTGGCAAAGGGATTCCAGGGGTAATGGTAGATGTCTATAATCAGCTCTGATAGGGATGGATGAATTTGTCAGTTTTGTTTTGTCTAGGTTTCTTGTTTTCCATGCTTAAACTCAATTTGTCCTATTTCCACAACAGTTTTATATATATATTTTTTAAGTCAACACAAAAATCTGTACTTTTTTGCACATTTCTCCCAATAAACACCTTTCTGTGTACATTTCTGCCCAACACATGCATCTTTGCTGGCAACCTTCCCTAATACATTTTTGGACATTATTTTCACTAGTATACACATCTGTGTACACACTTTCCCTCAATATACGCTCTTCCTTTATATGCATTTTTTGGCTGGAGAACAGCATCTCAAATTCAGAGATGTGCAAATTTGGAAGAATAACTGTGTGCTGGTTTGCCTATCGGCTTGAAAATTAGGTAAATTTGCATTGGAATGTGAACTGAAGAGATGTCTCCCTCATCCCTAGTCCTAGGTATGCCCTACAGTGTCCTTCAAGATTTCATCTTGTCCCTTCTCCTATCCAATTTCCATGCTGTGAAGATCTGGAGACAGGTGTTTTCAACATGCTGATCACACTCACTCAGTTTTTTCCTTCCAGATCCTGTGATCTTGGGCATGATTACTCAATGACTTTCAGATACTATAATCTGGAGGGAGGGTAGATACATGTCACTCATAAACATTCAGGATTCCCTGGTTGTTAAAGTAAAACTTTACAATGTTAACATTTATGAGGATGACCTTTTTGAAGGTGATCACAAGTGGGAGGGGGAAGGTCAAATATTCAAGCTAACCACTGGCTTTATATTGTATGCCGCCATATTCATGTGTTTGGTGTCCAGTTACAAAAGGAACTGGAATTTTTGCTCGTGGGGGTCCATAGCCCTTCAGGGTGGTCTCTTCTAACAATAGGGTTAGTCCTAGCAAAGGGGAGCAGTCTCTTGTGCTGGTTTCATTCAATTCACTCTAGTTAACAATCTCAATATGTCACTTGCATTCACTGGTCACACAGTAGGGGGTCTCTGGAAGGAATGCTCTGTCCTGTGCTAGGCAGGAGACCACAAAGGAAGAGAATGATCACCTTCATGGTTCCTTAGAAATAACAGGCCAGAAGAAGTGGCGAAAGGATAACTTTCAATGGAGCTAGCATAGCACAGAAGGGGATACATATACAAAATAATCATAAAGTTTGTATTCCAGATTAATTCGTCCAGATTATCTGCCACACCTCAGAGCCATGCTCACAGACCACACCATGCAATTCCAATGTGCGTAAAGATTAGTTTCAATAATTTAAAAAGTTTACTCCTTTGTTGCTTTTACCTCCTTGGCTGAGAGAGCAGTGGGGCTATCAAAGAATAAAAAGTGGCACTTCATTCCTTTTAGATATCTGGAGCTGGTCTCACTCTCAGTTAACAGACAGGATACTTTACAATTCAACTGTTTCCCAGCTTTTACTTTATTTCCAGGGAGCACTTAACGTGGGTGTTCATGTAATACCGGTAAGAAAGAGCACTTTACCCCAGAAGTGTAGCAGACCCCTGTCTATCCGGGAGTAAACTGTCAGGGTGTTTGATGGCCAGAAATATGTAATGCGACTTGCTCAGATCTTTGCCACATGTGACGCTTGTCAAGTCCTTGCACGGTTTTTGTTTGTTTTGTGTGCTTTTTTAATTTCAAACACAAGCACAAGTACATGTTCCGGTTTATCCAGATCTACGACTAGGTAGAAAGCTAACCCAGAATGAATGTCACAATGTAAAGTTACCCGGGAGGCAACCTCTGCACTGACATAAGCTCCCAGCACGGATCGTTTAGATATCCCCTACCATCATTGCTACCACGCAAGCAAGCGGGAAAGCATTCTACTGCGCAGAGCCTCTCTGCTGCGCAACTCCCAAAGAACGACGGCGCTCACCAATAAAAGGATGCGCCTTTCTCTCCAACACCAAGTCGCGGGGTCGCCATTCGCCGGGGCGAAAAACCTGCGGCCCTCTAGCCTGATCTTCACCACCGAACTCCTTTGCTGCGAAGCCCGGGGCAGCGTTACGAGGGCGGGCAGGGTTCCCCCGTCTCTGCGCGCCCCGACGCCTCCATTTCCAGCCCCATGAGCCAGCCACCCCGTCCCAAGGGAACCCGGTTGAGCCCGTCCCAGACCCCCCAAAGGGAAGACACGCTGCTCGCTCGGGGCTGCATTCGCAGACGATCGGGGAACCACGTGTAAACGAAATGAGAGAGGGCTAGATCCACCTCGGTTTCAGACCCGGGAGACGGGGGGGAAGCAAGCGCCACTGTCCGAAAGCGGATGAGAACAAAGAGCCACCCGCCAGATGGACAGGTCCCAGCCGAAGCCGGGACCCGGGACAGTTTCCCCGAGGAGAGCGGCGGCCAGCAGCGACTCACCATGATTGCTGCCTGCAGCTTGATCCCCGGCTAGACTGGGCTGGACTCCATCCCGCGACCTCCTGCTGCTGCTGCTGCTGCTACTGCAGCCCCTCGGTCGGCTCTTCCTTCCCTCGCTGAGATTTGAACACCCCACTGCAGGCAAGGAGCCCGGGAGTCTCTGGCTGCGCCGCTGGGGAGGAGGCAAAACCTGGTCTGGATCCGCTCGGCATCTGCGCCTACCCACGTAACAGCGAAGGGAGCAGTGGCCCTCGCGGTGCTGCGGCAAGAGCAATGGCAAAGCGCGGCCTGGATTTCGCAAACTTGAACCTCCCAAACCAAATGGGACGCAGGGTAAAGGCAGGTTCAGTGGCCACTTGCGCTGGGTGCCCTCCCACTGACTCAGGTAAAATGGCACCTGCGTAAGTGGCTAAATTGTCCCCCGAGACCAGGAAAAATTACACCTTTTGAGATGACGAATGCAAAAGCATGGAATTATTCCATGAATACGCAGGAAGCAAATTCGGAGCTGGGACATCAAGAGCAAGCGATTGCAGCCAGAATCCATCACTCTGGAAAATCCGAAAGATTGAGGTGGTTGCCCACGGGGACTCTCCCGGGAGCAGAATAGTGCAGGGGCTGACTTAATTAAAAACAGGAAATTGCTCTTCCTAGAATTTAAATTATAGCACTTTGATAAAAGTTTGCTTGCAGGTTTTGGGTTGAAGGCTGGTTCACTCCAGAAGTTGTGTGCTGAGTGTGATCTTGTCTTCCAATGTTTTCATTTCCCAAACTTTATGCAGTAACCAAGGCTAAAGGGTGTTTGAGAATAGAACACCTGTGTACTTTTGAAGAACAAATGCCCAGTGTCTTCCAACGGATAATATTTAAATTTGAGCCTCTGTACTTTCAAGTCCACATTTTTAAAGTGGGAATAAGGGTGGCCTAATCCATGAAGTTGTTATAAATTCCATAATGCACTCTTATCAGTAAAAAAAATGTTTGGTAATGATAGAGAATATACTGTCAAAATGCTGTGTGCAGTTTGTGTGGGTTTTGCTTCACAGAACTTTGATAACACCAGATTTCTTTCTTTTGAGTTTTTTAATTATTACTACTGTTTTAAATTGATAAGCTGCCTTTCTGGACCAAGTCCCCTGAAGGTGGACAAACAAAATGCAAGCATAAAATTTAATAGATAAAATATTACAATATTGTTACAGATTTAGTATTATTTTTAAATACAACCTCTGAACAATACATTCAAATATAATTCAACCAGTATAAAAACCATTGTAAGAACCACAACAAAAATATATATGTTTTTAAAATAAATAACTATCCCTAAGGTTTAGGATGGATAACGTATGTTCTGAATTAACTTTCTATGGAGGGGAAACCCGGTCACTGTGGTCAGCTCATAGGGCAATGATCTCTCTCCTACACAACTCAGATCTCCCCATTACCCAATTTAACAGATTCCAATAAGAAAGAAAATGAACAAAATAAATCAGAAGTAGTAGAGAGAGTTGGGAGTATAAACAGAAATAAGGAAGGAGCAGGTTTTTGTAAAGCAAAGCATGAAATCAAACTCTAAATCAGCAGATAGCAGTTTTACAAATACCAGCTCAAAAAACTAAACACAGCTATCCCTTTACTAATTTAACTCAAGCCATTAAAATCCAATGGGGGGTGGCTTCAAAGATACTACAATCCCTCTGGAAGATGTTCAGAGTTGGATTTATGGTAGGTCTCCAGGAAGGGAAAATTCTGTTATTGTGGGGCAGCCATGATGATACAGGGTGAGGGAGTTGCCTCAGGTAGAAAATTTTGGGATACCCTATTGAGATGATTATAACCACTATATAAAGTTTTTCTGTGTCAGGCATCCCTATATCTTGCATCATTTCTGAGTTCAGCACTGAAAATATTTTCCTGTTAGGACAGAATATTTTCATTTCCATTCAAGACAAATATATAGTAGTCACAACACCCTTGGTGGTTACAAGGCCATTTCTGGAGGAACTGACAACATAACAGCAAGCTACTCTCATGGCTCCCCAATAATCCTTCTGCATAACACAGTAGAGCTGTTATCTATGTTTTTGAGATGCACATTAGCAGAAATGTGTGGAGGTCCAACTTAAACTGGAAAATTTATCTATGCCCTTGAGCCAGTCTTTGAATAGCCAGTCTTTGTAACCCAAAGCAAGACTACTGCTAGTTTGGTGCAAAGACTAAAATCACAACAGAGCTGTTCCAAGTAAGAGATGAAAATAAAAAGGCCCCACTGTTGGAAAGTAGGTCCCTAAGTACATTGTTTTGCTTCTGTTGTTTCCTTCACATTTTATCATAAATGAAGCCTGAAGTAGATTACTTAGAGCCAAAAAACATATTACATGCATGGTTGCATAGAACAGATTTTGCAAGATTGCATTTAATAGATCTGTGGTATTGTTCGTTTAAAAATGGCCGCCATTACAGAGGAGGCCAGATTAGGGATGCTGGCACACGCAGAAGGGTATCAACTTCCTGTCTCTCATCCCACTTTGGTGCCACAACATACTGAATGACGATCACCCTCCCAAAGTTGCTACTTGCCTCAAGAGCTGATCAGATGAACCCTACTGAGTCTCTTTAATGGGGACTCAGTACAGACAAATGGGGTCTCACTTACTAGGTGAGAACAGAACCCTTCTCGGAAATCAGATTCAGTCTTGGTACGTCTGACCAAGCTCCATTCCTGCATTTGCTCTTACCCAAGCTCACTTTTGTCAGGAAGGCATGTTGTGATTTTAATCTGCACAGCTGAAGCCCAGCTGCCCCCTCCTCCTCAGCCATGAGATCCCACAGTTGTTACCTTTTGACTATAATTCTTCCCTCATTTCCAGCTGCTAAAGCACATTAAAAGAGGCTAAAAATATACTAAACACTCCCCTGATGTGACAGCATTGCTTTACATGGAAAAGTAATTGCCACCGGGATGGTTCGTGATCATGAGCTGGAGGAGAGGCATCAACTAGATGCTGGCAATTGGAGAACCCCTGCCCTGGAAGCCAAAAGGAAAATGTGGGGAAACTGTGTGGTTCTGACAGGCAGAATGCCACAGCTATTGTGGGCGGTGAGGTATTTTGAAATTAGAGGCTAAGTAAGTACTGCTATCACCTGATTTAATTATTGTCCTTTACAGCTATCGGAACAAGAGAAATTCTTCATCCCAGAGCCAGCCATATCAGCAGTTCCAAAATTCAACACAGCCGAGGATAAGAGGCACTTGACAATAAATTTACAGAATCCCCACAGAAATAAAACTAGATATTCCATAGGTCCCTCTGCAGTGCCTACGATTCTTACACGTGCATGAGGCAAATTTCACAGTGGATACCATAACATGTTCCCCACTTTCCTAAGCACTGAGTAGTCCAGGACTAATGTTGACATGCTTTAGTTTCTTTTGGATGAAGAACACTGGAGGCTTATGATGCCTCGGTAGTGCTTGTTTCTTTACAAATATATAGTTGAGCATATTGGAAGTTAATGGGATCATGTAGCAGGTAGCACAGTCTCTGATCTTGACCCAGATTCCTTTGTTTCTATCTGAATGCTAGCCTCAGCAAAAACTCCCCTATCTGGCTGATTTGCTCTGCTTCTATCTAAAATTGCAGAACTGGCTCCAGACCGTTTCTCTGTCCTTTGCAGTAGCTGTTTTGTGTTACAACCCCAAATTCTGATGCATTATATTCCAGAGTCTTGAGACAGATTCCTAGCAAAGAAGGAACATTTATTATTCTTTTTTTCCAGAGGGCTGGCCACATTAGCCTCTTGCAGCAAAAATAATAAGAGTACAGTGGCACCTTGCAGACTAGTTAAGTGACATCCCCACCTGAGTACACCTTTGTCAGTCTTTAAGCTGCCATAAGACTCTTTGACTATTTTAAGTCTCTTGCCAGTGATAGGCCCATTCAGAATACAACCCAGATTGCCAGACAATAGTTTTTAGACGTACTTGATTGGCCATAGAAGTGCACGTAGTGGTGTTTTGGGCCCTGTGGAACACCCTCCCACCAGATGTCAAAGAGAAAAACAACTATCTGACTTTTAGAAGACATCTGAAGGCAGCCCTGTTTAGGGAAGCTTTTAATGTTTAATAGACTGTTGTATTTTAATATTTTGTTGGAAGCCGCCCAGAGTGGCTGGGGAAACCCAGCCAGATGGGCGGGGTATAAATAATAAAAAATTATTATTATTATTATCATCATCATCATCACCACATAACAGACAAACCAGGGTATAACATATGTGGCCAAACATGCAGGGTAGAGATCAGAATGTGACCCTTAATAAAAACATATTTCAGCACTATAAACAGCATTGAAGTGGCAATGCCAGCATCTAGTTGATGCCTCTCCTCCAGCATTCTTTTCTGTGAACTGTCCTGAGACCTCCAGGTGTATGGTGGTAATGAAATTAAATTAAATTAAATTAAATTAAATTAAATTTGAATGAATGAATGAAATCCAACCCTCATCACATTCTGTGGACCAGAAAATATAATAGGAGTATCTTTCAGTTTTGGAAACGGCAACCCCAGATGTCCCTTAAAATAAGGCATAATTTTCAGTTCTAGGAGGTGCCAGGCTCTTCTTTTCATAAAGGGCTTTCTTGTAATTTTCCTTTTATTATATTGTTTGTTATTAATGTAAGAAGAACCTGCCGGATCAGATCAAGGGCTCATCTAGTTCAGCATCCTGTTCTCACAGTGGCCAACCAGTTGCCCAGATGAAGCCTATAAGCAGAACACTCCCCCCACTTGCGATTCCCAGCAACTGGTATGCTGTGTTTTTTTAGCAAAAAGAAAATAGGCTGTTCAATCCTTTATTCTTCAGAGTGGAAGACGTTGCAGTGGGTGTACACACCTTGAAGCATGTGTGCATGTATGTGTTCAGAAATTATCATGTAGCCCAAAAGCCATGTGCAAGAATAGTCCTGACATTCCTCTCGTGTTTTAAAATTCCCTCAGAATCGTGGGTTTTCAGAATAGGGGAATTTGTCTGCTGCTATAATAGTCTGGCATTTACAGGAAACAGGCTGTCACCAGACTGAATCAGTGTGGGGAGATTGTGCCAAATGAAGACACAAAGACAAGGGAACTCCTCTCTCTCTGCCATCATGAATATATGTAAAGATCAAACCAGACATTATCTCAGGAAGCATATGTTCCCACTCTCAACTTCACATTTGCCAAGATGTTGGAGAATGCAGGTGTAATGGAGCATTTAT